CATTAAGTCTCAGCTGCTATTGTGAACCCTTTCTTTCACATTATCACTTGTTAAACTGATGGCTAGGCACGTTGATAGGCTAGTAATCAAGATGTGCTGAATTCTTGTTACCAGCCAGACACTGTTCTATATGCTTCAAGTGAATTCTATCTCATTTAGGCTTCCATAAAGTCCTATACAGTACATACACTTCTCTCATTTTATAATCAGGAATGACAGGCTTAAAAGGTTGGGTAAGCCGGGCGCCGGTGGCTCACGCCTGTAATCCTAGCTACTCAGGAGGCTGAGATCTGAGGATCACGGTTCAAAGCCAGCCCAGGCAGGAAAGTCTGTGAGACTCTTTTTTTTTTTTTTTTTTTGTCGGTCGTGGGGCTTGAACTCTGGGCCTGGGCGCTGTCCCTCAGCTCTTCAGCTCAAGGCGAGCACTCTACCACTTGAGCTACAGCGCCACTTCCGGTTTTCTGGTGGTTTACTGGAGATAGGAGTCTCACGGTCTCTCCTGCCCGGGCTGGCTTTGAACCGCGATCCTCAGATCTCAGCCTCCTGAGTAGCTAGGATTACAGGCATGAGCCACCAGCGCCCGGCGTCTGTGAGACTCTTATCTCCCAATAAAACCACTAGAAAACCAGAAGTGGTGCTGTGGCTCAAGTGGTAGAGCGCTCGCCTTGAGCTGAAGAGCACAGGGACAGTGCCAAAGCCCGGAGTTCAAGCCCCACGACTGACAAAAACAAAACAAATCAAAAGGTTGGGTAAGGGCTGGGAAGGTGGCTCAGTGGTAGAGCACTTGCCTCGCATGCATGAGGCCCTAAGTTGGATTCCTCAACACCACATAAGCAGAAAAAGCCAGAAGTGGCGCTGTAGCTCAAGTGGTAGAGCGCTTTCCTTGAGCTGAAGAGCTGAGGGACAGTGCCCAGGTCCAGAGTTCAGGCCCCATGACCAACACAAAAAAAAAAACGGTTGGGTAAGCAGGGCGCCAGTGGCTCACTCCTGTAAACCCAGCTACTCAGGAGGATGAAATCTGAGGATTGCAGTTCGAACCAGCATGGGTTATCTACAATTAACCACTCAAAAGCCAGAAGTGGTGCTGTGGCTCAAGTGGTAGAGCACTAGTCTTGAGCACAAACAGGCTGGAGGACAGAGTCCAGGCTCTGAGTTCAAGCCCCACAACTGACCAAAAAAGAAAAAAAAGGTTGAGCAATGTACAAAAGGTCACACAGTTCACAAGAATTGGAACTTAAATCTGACTTGTGTTTTGCTTTGTTTGGGGCAATACTGGGGTCTGAACTCAGGGTCTTATGATTGCTACGCAGGTGTTGTACTAAGCCAGGTCTCCAGGACAGACTTTTTGTTTGTTTGTTTGAATCTGGTCATGGGGCCTGAACTCTGGGCCTGGGCGCTGTCCCTCAGCTCTTCAGCTAAAGGCTAGCCCTCTACCACTTGAGCCACAGCGCCACTTCCGGTTTTTTTTTCCTTTTTGCTTATGTGGTTCTGAGGAATCAAACCCAGGGCCCCAGGCATGCAAGGCAAGTGCTCTACCACTGAGCCACCTTCCCAGCCTCTGCACTGGTTATTTCTTGCAATAGGGACTCACTTCCTGCCCAGGCCTGTACCTGGTCCTAAGTCCACCTATTTGAGGTTTTCTTGTCATGGCTGAAATCACAGGTGCATGCCAACACACAGATTCTTCTGCTGAGATGAAGCATTGCAGACTTTTTGGCTCAGGTTAGCCTAAAATACAATCTTCTAGGTTTTAGTATCCTACACAGCTAACAGACCTGTGCCAACTTGCCCAGCCATGGATCATGAAGAGGTCACACATGAATGTTAGATTGGCCTGGAACCAAGATAACTCCCTATCTTATTTCACAAGTAATTAGGGTCTCAGAGGTGAGTCACCACTGCCCAGCTGTTTTGTGTTTTGAGATATAGCCTTGCTATGTAGGTGGGCCTGAAAATCACTAGGAAACCTAGGTTGCCCTCAAATTCAAAATTCTGCCTTCACCTCCCAAGTACTGGGAGACTAAATGCTTTCTCTCAATTGACACAAAGGACATATTTTACACAGCATTTGTAAATGTCCATTCAAATGTAAAGCGGTGTCATAATTCTTGTTTAGAATGGACATTCCTCCCCAGTGCCCAGCACAAACCAACTTAAAATGATCAAGACTAATCTCTTTTCATTTACAAAAACCAGAGCATCTCGTTCCTCAGATACTATTGGAATATGTAAAACTTCATCCTTATTTTTTAATCTGTGCAGCAATTAACTTAACCCCAAGAGGTCACAGTTGATCACAATGTTCTGACCAGAGGAAGAAAAAGTAAAGCCATGTACTGGATGACCAGAAACCCACTCAGAACATGGCCTTCCTGCCCAATGCCCCACTGTCCTGTATTTCCCTTCCCACAGAAGCCCTTTCACATGGGTTCTCTAAGTTGATGGGTTTTGTGTGTGAGGTTTTTTTGGCAGAGGTGGGGGATGGGGGTGAACAGCTCCTCTATCTACTCAAGACTGCTAGCCCTTGTGTAAACCTGATTTCCTTTCCATCTATTATCTCTCTCAAGTAGATGACAGAGGGACCTGGGTCTGGTCATACTATGGAACATGTAAAAGAAATCTTGTATTTGGCATGACAGGTTTAAGTTTTTAAAATTAGTATAGTATGCTAGATTTAGTAATCTTTGAAATTAAGCTTTCTAATTCTCCTTTTTTTCTTTTTCTCTTGTTTTTTATGTTGGTCAGGGGGTTTAAACTCTGGGCCTGGGTGCTTTCCCCGGGCTCTATAGCTAAAGCCAAGCACTCTACCACTTGAGCCACAGCACCACTTCCAGTATTTTGGTAGTCAAGTGGAGATAAAAGTCTCTCGGACTTTCCAGCCCAGGATGGCTTTGAACTATGATCCTCAAATCTCAGCCTCCTGAGTAGCTAGGATTACAGGCGTGAGCCACCAGAGCCCAGCTCTAAATTCTTCTTCTTTTTTTTTTTTTTGCCCGTCGTGGGGCCTGAACTCTGGGCCTGGGCACTGTCCCTCAGCTCTTCAGCTCAAGGCTAGCGCTCTACCACTTGAGCCACAGAGCCAGCCCCAAGCTCTAAATTCTTATCTTAAAAAAGTGTCAGAATAGAAAAGTTACAAATCTCATTTGTCTAGATAAATTCTCTGACTCCACATCTTGCTGCCAATCAATCATCTCCCATGTTATATTCTCCAAGTTGCTTGATGATAGTCAATACAGAAAAGCAGAGTACAGACCATGTAATGGTATTTTATGATGTTTAATATGTTAATAGTGGAAGTGGCGTGGTGGCTCAAAATAGTGGAGCACTAGCCTTGAATGAAAGAGCAAGGATAGTACCTAGGCCTTGAGTCCAAGCCCCACGACTGACCAAAAAATGATCAGTTGCCTGCCAGCCACTGGTGGCTTATGCCTGAAACCCTAGCTACTCAGGAGGCTGAGATCTGAGGGATCAGGATTTGAAGCCTGGACAGGAAAGTCTATGAAACTCCTATCTCTACTGAACTACCAAAAAAGCTGTTAAGGGAAGCTGTGGCTCAAATGGTAGAGCAAGAGCCTTGAGCAAAAGCTCAGGGACAGCACCTAGGCCTTGAGTTCAAGCCACAGGATCCACACCAAAAAAACAAAAACAAAAAACCAACCCACAAACTTTTAATCCTGTCAAAGTGAAAGTCCAAGTAACTCTTACCTGCAATAAACTACTCAGAAAAACCAGAAGTGGTGCTGTGGTTCAAGTGACCGAGGGCTAGCTTTAAGCCCAGGCCTTGAGTTCAAGCCCCAGGAGGGAGGAGGGAGGAGGGAGGTGGGGGGTGGGTGGGAGTGGGGATGTCAAGTTTGGTACTCATACTGATTTGAACACAGGATGACTTTCAAAACGTTTGGAACTGGCTCCTAGTCTGACATCTTTCTACTAGTTCATTTTACTTTGATTACGATGAACATCTAATTAACTTCTACACGTGTGTATAAAACATATAGTCTTTCGATTTTCCTTTGTGTGTGTGTGTGTACCTGTCCTGAGGCTTGAACTCAGGGCTTAGGTGCTATCCTTTAACTTTCTGCTCAAGGTTACTGTCATGCCGCTGGAGGCAAAGGCAGCCTAGGAAACCAACTTCCTCGTACACATGTACTTAGGAGGAACTAGCCTGAAACCACTCAAACTTGCAAAACAAGTTACATGCTACAAGTTCCTGCTGACTCGGGCCATATTAAACCCTGCTACAACCAGATGCTGGGCAACCTCTCTGATCCAGACCAGGGAGTTCTCCTGGGAGCGTACCCCAATAAACCTTTCGTTTACTCACCTATACCTCCTCCTGCATGTTTTTTCCTTGCCTAAAACCTAAGAGTTACCATTTTACCACTTGAGCCACAGCTCTACTTACAGCTTTTTGGTGGTAAATTGGAGATAAGAGTATCCTGGGGGCTGGGAAGGTGGCTCAGTGGTAGAGCACTTGCCTTGCATGCCTGAGGCCCTAGGTTCGATTCCTCAGCACTACATAAGCAAAAAGAAAAAAGCCAGAAGTGGTGTTGTGGCTCAAGTGGTAGAGCACTAGCCTTGAGCTGAAGATCTGAGCGAGAGCGCCCAGGCCCAGAGTTCAGGCCCCACTACCGGACTCTCCCACCCCCCCCAAAAAAAAAGAGTACCGTGGAGTTTTCCCTCCCTGGGTTGGCTTTGAACGACAATCCTTAGATCTCAGCCTCCTGAGTAGCTATGATTACAGACTTGAGCCAGTGGAACCCAGTTTATCCCCCCCCACCCCACCCCAAGCCCAAGCTAGCCTTGAACTTGCACATTTCATGACTCAGTCTCCAAAACTGCAGGGAGTACAGGCGTGCACCACCACCCCCGGCTCAATTTTTACTCCCATGGAAGACGAAAGCCTTTCTCCAGGTAAATTGTCAAGGGGCAGGAGAAGAAGCGGACAGATGAATGTCAATGTACGTGACACCCGTGCGAACCAGAACGTTCACAGCACCTACCTCCTGGGTTGCTGATCTCCACGCTATAATACACAGTCACAATGCTGGACCCAGGAGCTGGTGCCACAGCACAGCCTACCCTACGTGACGGTGCTAAGTGAAAACCTGCCTGGCCCAGCAGGTGAGCGGGGAAGCAGGCCAGGCAGGGGGAGGGCAGGCCTCTCTTCCGTTCCCTGCAAACTGGCCCAGGAGCCTGAAGTTTAACGACCCGGAGAGGTGCAATGGGAGGCCGCGCCGAGCGGTCTGCAGCAGGCGACAGACAGCCCGCGCGCGGGGCCCCACCACGTGCTCCCCGTACCGCCCATTCCCGGGTCGCGCCCGCCCCCGAGGCGCGGAGAACCTGGCCTCCCAGACCCTCCGCACGGAGCCGCTGGCCGAGACTGCCGCCCAAGCAGGGAACCTCACCCAGCTTAGCACCACAAGAGCCACCTCAGCACAAGACCCCACCTGGAGCCGGAGGAGCAATCAACTTCCACGGCGGCCTGGAGCGGACGACCGGAACTCCTCCCCCCTCCTCTATGATTGGGTCAAGACGAAAAGGAGGTTGCACAGGATTGGTCAAGAGCAAAAAGGCGGGTCAAAGGAAGTGAAAGTCCGGGTATAGAGGAGCCAGAAATGGGGAGGGAGCGGCTCTCTTTCTAGCTCCTGATTGGACAGAAATCTGCGCCTGCGTAGACTCAGTTTAACGAAATTATCACAAGTCACCGCCCCCTACGTTTCATTTGCGGAAGTTTTAGCGACCCCATTGGTCGTGATGAAAGCGTCATCTCAGGCTGTGTGGCCAATAACGAGCAAGAATGAAGTGGGCTCCGCCTCTCGTCTTGCGGACCGGATATCAGGTGCCAAGGGTTCGGTTCAAAGTTTCCATCGCCGATCCAGACTAGGTTAGGGAATTGTGATGGTACCTAGCTAGGACCTTACTGAGGGCGAGACAAGATTTGATAGATAGAATCAGACTGAAACAATCGCAAACGCTCAGAAAACCTAAGTAATTTTATGTAGAATGTGGGAAACTAGCTGTACCCGATCTGCCTCCTGAGTAGCTAGGATTACAGGCGTGAGCCACCGGCGTGAGCCACCCTGTCGATGTTTCTTGTCTTGATGTAACCCGTTATGTTTTTGCTTTGTGTGTGTGTGTGTGTGTGTGTGTGTGTGTGTGTGTGTGTGTGTGTGTGTGTGTGTCGTGAGGCCTGAACTCTGGGCCTGGGTGCTGTCCCTCAGCTCTTCAGCTCAAGGCTAGCACTCTACCACTTGAGCCACAGCGTCACTTCCGGCTTTTTCTGCTTATGTGGTGCTGAGGAATCGAACCCAGAGCCTCATGCCTGCAAGGCAAGCGCTCTACCACTGAGCCACCTTCCCAGCCCCCCCCCCCCCCCGTTTTTTTTTAATGCTATGATTTATCAGCACTATTAGAACTATTAGCATTTAGAGAAAATTTAAACTTTTACGTGTATTCTTAGATCAATCTACTTCCTACAGATGTTTTCCTGTATAATGTGTACATAATCTGCTAGATGTTCAAAATTACCACGTACTAAAAATTTTGTAAAATTCTTCGCATTACAATAAAGCGATCTTTGATTTTTCATATTGATAGCCGTTTCAGTATATTTGTGCAGTATCCTACATTTAGCAATTACATATAAGATGATGGTATAGGTAGCAGCTGCTACATAAATGTTCATAAAGAATTTATCTTGCCCATATAATTGTAACCCCTCTGTACAGTATTTTCACACAAAAAAAATTAAAAAAATTAAAAAAAAAATAAAAATGTTCATAAAGAAAATGAAGCTGAACTGACTATTGTATTGACAGGAAATTGTGCTGTAAATAAAATATCAATGTCAGATGGTATCCACATTATATGTTATTGAGGATTATAATATGAAGTACATTTTTTGGGGGGGGGGTTCCGGTCGTGAGGCCTGAACTCTGGGGCTGGGCGCTGTCCCTCAGCTCTTCAGCTCAAGGCTAGCGCCCTACCACTTGAGCCACAGCACCACGTCCGGCTTTTTTCTTTTTGCTTATGTGGTGCTGAAGAATCGAACCCAGGGCCTCAGGCATGCAAGGCAAGCACTCTACCACTGAGCCAACTTCCCAGCCCATTTTCAGGCTTTATTATAATGATTTTGGTGGGAACCAGGACTCATGGCTGTTATCCTAGGTACTCAGGAGACAGAGATGTAAAGATCAGAATTCCAAGCCAGTCCCAAGAGACTCATCTCCAATTAATCAACAAAAAGCAAGAAGTGGAGCTATAGCTCAAGTGGTACAGCCTTAAAAGAAAAAGCTAAGTGAGAGTTCAAGGTCCTAAATTCAAACACCAGAACAGGCACCAAAAATCACATCTTGAGACTGGTTAGCATGCTAAACCCATGGCCTGTAAGCCTTCCATCTTTTTTCTCTCTTGCTCTTCCTTCCTTCCTTCCTTCCTTCCTTCCTTCCTTCCTTCCTTCCTTCCTTCCTTCCCTCCTCCTCCTCCTCCTCTTCTTCCTCCTCTTCTTCCTCCTCCTCCTTCTCTTTCTTTCTTTCTTTCTTTTCTTTATTTCTTTCCTTCTTTCTTTCTTTCTTTCCTTCTTTCTTTTTTTGTCTCTTCGGGACCTGGGCACTGTCCCTGAGCTCTACCACTTTGAGCTACAGAGCCACTTCCAGTTTTCTGATTGTTAACTGGAGATAAGAGTCTCACAGACTTTCCTGCCAGGGCTGTCTTTGAACTGTGATTCTCAGATCTCAGCCTTCTGAGTAGCTAGGATTACAGGCTTTAGCCATGGGCACCTGACTCAATTGTTTGTTTATATCTTTTCCTCTCTCTCTTTCTCTCTCTCTCTCTCTCTCTCTCTCTCTCTCTCTCTCTCTCTCTCTCTCTCTCTCTCTCTCTCTCCTGGTTCCGGAGTTTAAAACCCAGGGCTGGACTGGTCTTCGGTTCAAGGATAATACTCTCACTCTTGAACCACAGCCCCATTTCTGGCCTTTTGATAATTAATTGGAAATGAATGTCACTACTAGGCAGGCTTTAAACTTGGATCCTCAGACATCAGCCTCTTGAGTCAGCTAGGATTCCAGGCAAGAACTACTGATTCCTGGAGTCTTAGCTACTCAGGAGGCTGAGCTCTGAGGATTGCATTTTGAAACTCCTCAGGGCAGAAAAGTTAGTGAGACTCTTAACTCTAATTAACTAGCAAAAAGATAGAAGAGGAGGTGTGAATTAAGTGGGAGAGTTCCAGCCTTGAGAAAAACCAAGTGAGAGAGGGCTCGAGGATCCAAGTCAAGCCCCAATAGCATCATTCATGTGCACTCTCACACACACACACACACACACACACACACACACACACACACACAAATGCACTGGAGGTTTAGAACATGACAACTATAATTTAAAATATAAACCTTGGGGAGAAGAGTCAAAGAAGAAACCACAATGTTTTTGTACTCATCTGGTAAGAAGGAAAAGGATTACAATCGCCTCAAAACAAAACAAAACAAAACACAAAAACTTAGGAAGAAACCTAACCGAGAAACCAAAAGACATCTACAATGATCTGTAGAGGTGAACTCTACAAAAATCTGAAGAAAGAAATTGCAGAAGACATCATTAAATGGAAAGATCTCCCATGCTCATGGTTAGGTGGAACTAATATCAAGAAAATGACCATACTGTGAAAGGTGAGCTACAAGTCCAACACAATCCCCATCAAAATCCCAATGACATTCTTCACCAAGATAGGGGAAATAATCCAAAAATTCATATGGTACAACAAAAGATCTTGAGCAAGAAATGCAATTTTAGGCAAACAAAAAAAGTAATGCTGGTGGTATCACAATCCTAGACCTCAAACTCTACTACAGAGCTATATGGTACTGTTACAAAAACAGGCCTGGAACGGACTATAAGATCCAGAAATAAAGCCACATTCTTAGTTAGCTGATATTTAAGGGAGCCAAAAACATACGGTGAGAAAAAGCCTGTTAAATAATTGATGTTTGGAAAACTGGACATCCATATGTAAAAAACTAAAATTGGATTCCTGTTTGTGACCATGCACCAATATCAACTCAAAGGGGATCAAAGACCTCAGACCTCAGACTTGAAACTTTGAAACTACTTCAAGAGGGAGTAGGAGAAACACTAGAATTCATAGGCACTTGCAAGAACTTTTTGAAAAGAGTTCCAGGGAGGCAAAACAGACAGGGGAGAAGAGACTTGACAAACGGGATTACATAAAAATAAAAAGTTTCCAAACAGCAGAGGACATAGATACTAAGCTAGAAAGATAGTCAACAGACTGGGAGAAGATCTTTACTAGCAATACATCCAACAAAGTTTTAATACACAAAATATACAAGGATAGAGCTGAGATGTGGCTTAGTGGTAGAGTGCTTGCCTTGCATGCATGAAGCCTTGGGTCCGATTCCTGAGTACCACATACACATAAAAAGCCTGAAGTAGCACTGTGGGTCAAGTGGTAGAGTGCTAGCCGTGGCAAAAGAAGTTCAGGAACAAGCCGGGCGCCCCTGGCTCACGCCTGTAATCCTAGCTACTCAGGAGGTTGAGATCTGAGGATTGTGGTTCAAAGCCAGTCCAATCAAGAAAGTCCATGAGACTCTGCTCTCCAATAAACCACTCAGAAAACTGGAAGTGGCACTGTGGCTCACGTGGTAGAGTGCTAGCCTTGAGCTGAAGAACTGAGGGACAGCACCCAGGCCCAGAGTTCAGCCCCACAACTGACAAAAAAAAGAAAAAGAAAAAAAAAAAGAAAAAGAAGCTCAGGGATAGTGCCTACACCCAGAGTTCAAGCCCCAGGACTGCAACAACAACAACAATAACAACACACACACACACACACACACACACACACACACACACACACACACACACACACACACGGCTCAAGAAACTAGCCCCCTCCAAAACTAATAACAAATAAATTAAAGAAGCTAAAGAGAAATTTCTGAAATGTAAGAATGGGGCTGGGAATGTGGCTTATTGGTAGAGTGCTTGCCTAGCATGCATGAAGCCCTGGGTTTGACTCCTCAGTACCACATAAACAGAAAAAGCAGGAAATGGCACTGTGGCTCAAGTGTTAGAGTTCTAGCCTTGAGCAAAAGTAGTTCAGGGATGGTGCCCAGACCCTGAGTTCAAGCTCCAAGACCTGCAAAAAAAAAAAAAAAAAAGTAAGAATGGCAAGTAGACACATAAAGAAATGTTCAACATCCATGGTCATAAAGGAAATGCAAATCAAAACAACTCCATCCCCCACCCCCCAGTTAGATTGGCCAACACTGAATTTGAACAACAAATGCTAGTACATATGGGGATAAAGGAAC